CGCACCGCCCCCCTTGCCCTTGCCCTTACCCTTGACGCCACTTTGCCCCCGGCCGTCATCGCTGTCGCTGCCGCTGCCCTCGCCCACCGCTTCGTTACCAGGGGTCGATCTGTTCTCCGTGAAGATGGGCAGATCGTACATTTCGGGACTCTGAAAGGTGCAAGCAGGGCCGCCGGGGGGGGGGGAAAAAGGGATGGACGCGCACGTGGTTCAGATCACAACAAAAAAACATGAGCCTTCTCTGTCGGCATGAAAATGCCGGCGTGAGACTCGTCGCCAGACAAATTCAGTGAGAGTTTTCTTGGCGCAGATTTTGGGGGGAAGCGAAAACCGCATAGTAGTGGCCGTCAGGGGGGCAAGGTCGCGCTGAGTAGAATTGTGAAGCAATCTCGCGATAAACGTGAAGGGGGACTAAATACTGCCACAAGGAGGTCGATCCGCACATCCGCGTGAGCCTGAACCAAAAAGAAACATCAATTGCGGCCATCACGACTCGAGGTGCTACGGAGAACGCCAACCCATGATGGGCCGGCGCCCGCTATGTCGTAGCCCGTGCGGGTGACGTCACTGCGCACAGCGCTGTGCGACAAAAAATAAAGAGGCGAAGTCCTGAAAGAGGAAGGACTTCCTAGCCTCCGGTTGTTGGACTGTGCCTACCGCTCAGTAGGGCCACATCTGTGAACATCGAATGAGTCTGAGAACGAAGAGAAAGAGAGCCATAGGTCCCCCTGCCAAACGATGCCACCCCGAACCGGCCCCGTTTCAAACATGCAAGCACAAGAGGTTGGCGTCCAGCAGATCAAGAGCTTTTCCCATGGCCTCATTTTTGAAGCACAGCAGCAGCAAGCAGAAGCGGGTTTCAAAACAATTCGTTCGACGGCTCACCCATCCGGCCGAACGGTACCACGGGAAGGAGTCGAGGAAGAGGGGGTTCCTCAGCGACAAGTCCAGCACGTCTTGGTCGGTCTGCCACGATCAACCAGCAACAGCAGAACAAAAGAAGAGCGGCTCAATGCGAAATAATAGACGTTCCTACGTACCCCCCAAACAAATAAACGACAATGCTTCAGTAGTATATACTGTCCAGGGGACCATTGTATAACGAAGACCGAAGGTTGTCAAAGAGCAGTATCGAAAATACAAGCATGAGATTTCAGAGTGCGTCTCTTTACCGCTCGATTTTTCTTTCTTAATGTAACACAGCGAATCCATCTCTATCCAGCATCTCTATCCATGTTTCTTGAGTTTGTGAAGGTCTGGCACACCCCCCCGCCGGCGTCACGAAACGTTTCTTCTTTTTTTTCTATTTACTGTTATAATCCCATTAGTATGTAGCAAGTGTGTAGCACAACAGACCCATCTATTGCATATTCATGGACAAGGATCCAGGATTAGCAATTAACTCATAGTGTTAGCAGAGCACTACCTTTTACCCTGCGCCTTGTTGTGCGGAGCTTGCAGCCTTCACGAGCGAAAACGATCCAACAACGACCTGCTGTGCCATACATATCCGTCCCCAAGTCTCTTGATGATACAGCCCCCCCCCCCTCCATCAGCTACTGCCGCTAAATAAATCATGCATCCACACCTCGCAGCCCACCACGGGCCCGGCATTACGAAGCCACTTGAGAAACCCTCGTGGGGGATCCCACGTCGCCGTCTGATCAGCATCCTCCCAGCCTGGCGCCACGAGGTGCAGCTGGTTCACCCTGCAGTAAAACGTCCCCTGTGGCGCAAATGCAAAACCAAACGATGCCCATCGGCAAAGCACGTGTACAGTACTGCTGCAGCGTGGCAAAGAGGGCGGCACAGCCTGCGGCGAAGCGCGCACAGCGGTGCTTTGCTATGTGCTTCGAACGACATGGAAGATACGGGCGGACTGCGACGGTTTTTTTAGGACTCCCGATTTGCTCCGCTGCCGTTGTTTGTGTTGGATCCTGGCCTACCGTAGACTAATTAGGCTGTAGACCACTACTGGAAGGAGTACCCTGCTGTATACTAGAGTTAGAGTGCAATGTTAATGTTGCCCTGAACGAAAAACGCGCGCCCGCTGTGTAGGGCAGCGCCAAGAGGGGTGCGGTTGTGCGCTGGGTGCCGCCTGGCCTGCCCAAGCACGCACAGATCCACAGGGAGGGTGGACCTAGAAAGCCGATTTTCAAATCCCATGTACCGCAGGCAGTGTGGAGAGTGAGCCTGTGTGTGACCTTCGCGATCTGTATCTGTCTCATGGATGTAGCATACCTTCGACTGGTACTTGCACTTGGCACACCTCGAGCATTTAAACCTCCGCGGGATCGAGGTCACCATGCTCGGTGCGAGGCGAGCACCACCGCGGGCATCCTCTTCGCTACTCGTACTACCGCTGTTGTCGCTGTTGTCGCTGCTGTCACTGCCGCTGCTACTGGTGCTGCTGGTGCTGCTGGTGCTGGTGCTGCTGCCGCTGCTGCGCTCCATGTCCTGAGGCCTTTTCCTTGAACGCTTGTCGTCGTCACGGGCAGTTTCGTCTCTACCTTCCCTGCTCTCGCTCATCCTTTCGGGGATTGCTGCCTCTCGCTTGTTGTAGAACAGAAATACGACCTTGAAACAAAGCGATCAGCCTTGTTGGTGCGGATCGCCTGTCTGGCTGCTGACTGATGACAACGAACCCATTAAACCCAACACAGCATCATAGACCAAGAGAGGGATGCCCCCGCTGTGACCTTGTAAAATGTATTTGCATCCTACGGAACCCCTTGCAAGATCCAAGATCTTGACCTGTCGCTTGGCACATGTTCTGTGTTGTGGGGCAAAAGGTATGAGCTCGTCGCGCACGTGCCCCGTACTGTATGCTCGTGATCAAGTCGCGCCTAGCACAGTATCATGGAACAATAGAGGGGGTTGTGGCGAAAAGGACTGTCGATAGACGATGACGGTGACCAAATTTTACAGATAATAGTTGGCGTGTCATCTACTGCTGCATGCTGTACAGTAGAGGCATATATCCTTGTGTATGCGGTAGTGCTTCGGCGCGGACCTCTCTACAAGGAAGATGAGTTCCCTACATTATGTTGAGCATCCCTACTGCTGCTGTACGTACCAATGTACTATACCTAGACTACAGATATAGCGCGGTAAGGGGGGGAAGAACAGCGGTTTTGACGCTGGCTCTTTTCCCGTACTTTAATCCTATACAAAGAAAGAAAACAACCTTCCCGCCGGGGTAAGGTTAGGCATTCTATTGTCATCAGTAGAGGACATCATGAAGAGGCGTCGTGCGTGCTGGCACGTTCAGGTTTGCTACTGGAGCGGAAATATCGAAGGTCGCAGCAGCCGCTGAATACAGACCGAAATCTGCGCCGGAACCAGCGGCATCCAACATTTGTCACAGCCATGCTCACCGCCACGGACCGTAAACCCCTGAACGGAGGGGTGTCAGCAGTAGCTAGTGGCATCAGCTACTGCTGTAAACCCGTAGCTCAGGAGATTGGGGTCCGTGACGGCGACTATGGCTGTGACAAATGTTGGATGCCGCTTGGTTCCGGCGCAGATTTCGGACTGCTCTTGCAGTTTGTCCGGCCATCTTGTGCCAGCAACGGGCTCGTTGAAGAACGTGCCTGATTTATGCCGCAACAGGGAGGCCGGCCGGGAAACTCCGGTGATGGGCTGTTTGAAGTTTTCCCCAAACGATAGCTGCTTCAGGAAGGCGGGAAAGACGTGTCCGTTGATGGGCTGGTTAAATTTCTCGCTCAAGGACAGGTGTAACAAAGACTCTAGCCACACGACGTGCGTGATAGGCCGGTAGAATGGTCCTGTGAGGGACAGGTGTTGAAGGTTGTCGGGCCACATCGCGTCCGTGATAAGATGGTTGAAGCATGGTCAAACGTCACCTTCGTGAGTGACGGAGGCCAGGTGACTCCAGCCACGCTCTGATCAAACTGGTACCCAAATTCCAGAGTCTCGGGGTGCGGTGGCAATACCGAAACTGTCGATGGCCTTGTAGCAGCTGCCGTACTCATCTCTGTCGAGGTAGAGATGTTTTGTTTGCGACAGCGCGGGCGCGCATTTCCGCATCATCTCAACGCCAAGACCCCACACGACGCTTTTCCCGACAAGCGGCGGCACTCTCGAAAGACGCGTCGATGCTCCTGCCTCGGCCGCCTCTGCAGCTACTTGACTCGTGGTCCGCGACCTGTGTGGCCGGCTAGGCTTCATGTCCTCTTGCTGCCGTTGCCCCCAACCACGGGGGCTCCCGCGACGCAGCTTGGTGCTGGCAAGCGCGTCCCGGCCGACCGTTATGCGCCAAAGGGCCAAGTCTCGGACTGCCTCGCAGAGTGCAAGGCAGGCAAGCTGTAGTTCCTTTATCGAGCAAAGTGATTCTCCCTGTAGATTCACGGCCCCGGCGAGAAAAGTCAGGAGGACCTCGTAGACCGCAACCCTGATAGTGGTTCCAACAACAGCATCGACAACAACGAACAGGAGCGACGAGTGGCGGCGGGGAACGCGCAACACAAGGGAAGGACGGCAATCAGCGAAGTACCAACTGGACCTGATGCTCTTGACTTGGTGTATTCTTGGTTGTTCGCCGTGATCGGGGGCGCGGCCGGAACGAACGGCGTGGCTTGCTTGGTCTTGCCGACGAGCGATGGCACGGTAGAAAAACGGATCGTCCCTCACCTGCTCTGTACAGCACAGCACGAGAGTGGGACGGAGACAGAAGGAAGGGCGAGGGGGGTCAGTCGCTGCGAGCCACAACGACCGGCGAGAGCTAGCCTTACTGCCGTACTCTGCTCTACAATGGACCATCCATGTATGCATGGAAGTCTACACGCTGAAACGACGCCCGGTCGGTGCAGTAGTAACAAACGAGCCGGCTTCCCTGCCCTAAAGAGAAGCGAGAGCTGCATGCGTGCAAATGCTACCGAGTCGGAAGTAGAACGTGGTACTTACAACCGACTGGTCAGGTTTTCCGCTGCAAGCCAAAAGAAGGCTTCATGCGAGCTCTAGCATTTCAATAGCGGTCTCACGGGCTCATTCATCTCTTACCCCGCGGGTTTCTCGCCGGCCCTTTATCTTTTTCTTTCTTTCGCCTCCTGGCGCGCTCCCCCGCCCCTCCCAAGGGCAAACGGCAAGAAAAGAATCAAGCACTCACTATCGTAGCTGCGTGTGAGCAAGTACGTACGCAGAGAGCCGTCTTGTTTGCCGAGATCCGTCTCCATCTCGATCGACATCTGTCAAGAACTAATAATGATTAGCCCCCCGTCTTGACGTCGTCTGCCGAGAGAAACCAGCCTCGATGCCAACGAAACACCGACCGCACACTCTCTACACCCTTTGGGGCATACGAGGGAGAATCGAACCGCTCTGAGTCCCCGTCCGTATGTTCCTTATGTTCACCCTACTGTAGTATCGTGACCAGTGCAGTACGGAATGTCACGTGCTCGGATTCAGCCACGGCATCATCGTACATCACCTGAATGTATCCACATATCCACATACACGCCGCCATGACAAGATAAAGGCGGTGGTTAGATTCCTAAAGGGGTTCATAAGCCGTATTGGGTTGGGGGTCGGGGTGGGCCAAGAAAACTCATTGGTGTTGGTTGCTAGTCCCGCCCACCCCCTTCCCCTAAGAATCCACTCGACCTGCCCGCTCAATCAAGTCGTGAACCCGATGAGCTCGTCTCAATCACTTACTCGACCTGACGCGCTCAATGAAGTCATGAACACGATGAGTTCTTAAGCACTCTCTGGCAAAATAAATGGAAGCGTGCTTTCGGAGGGGCACGTGAGCCGGATATTTTATCCCTGCCCCCCTCGCGTTTGAGGTTCGAGGACGGATTGGTCGAGGCAGGGTCAGCTCTTGTGCCATGTGGAGCTGTCAGACTGCTGTACAGGGCATGGGGGGCGTTTATGTGGTATTTTCTACGAGCTTGTGTCGTGGGCCTCGGTCCTAGAGTTCACACCCTATTGAATACATATCCGCTCAACACTGGGTGATAGTTGGAACGCCCTACAGTAAGCAATACCAACTTACCTAACTACGTGCGCCATGTGGGTTTTTTCACCTCATGTATGCAGACTATAGACTACTCCAAGCGTATACACACGAAGCGATGTGTTCGCTGTATGTGGCGCGCCTGCTTTGCACGAACGCGCAATTATCGAAGTCCCTTGCGGTGCTTGGAGCATGGTCGAGCCCCGTGAAACGATTGGAAGCCGGGATGCCCAATTAACCCAAGGTACATCTGGTTTGGCACAGAAAACGCAAGAATGATGACCAGCTTCTGGCCATCCTCGATGAAATCCGGCATATGGTTCCGTCCCCGCATTGCAGGGATGCGACGTCAATAGTCCAATGACTACGACATGCGTGTACATGAGTACCAGGCGAGGGGGTAGACAATCCACAGAGTGGGCAAGGTTGCAAAGGAAAACAAGGGGGTGTGATACTGACAAACATTATACGTTGACAACGACAGGCGTGGGGTTCAAGGAGGAAATATCAGGTGCTTTTCGGAGAGAGAAAACTTGAATCTACGGAAAAAAACAGGGAAAGGACGGTCTAGAAATCTGGAACGATGAACGAAGGACCAGGGTTCGAGGAGTTTTTGCACCGACCAATGGATGCTGGGACAAAGAAGGCCAACTTGGGACAGGGGACATTGACATTGACCTTCTTCGAGAAGGTTGACAGAAGGTAGACAAAGACGACGACATGTTCAACTGTGAACGCGGCTCCGAATGCGAAGGCCGGTTTCATGTAGTTGCAGACGTCCGTCGTACGAAATGAGAGAGAAATACAAATGACTGAGATGCGGTGAGAAAAACAGTAAGACGCTACAGAGAGAAGCTTGAGGCATGGTACAGCGAGGAAAAGGCGGTAGCTATCAGAGGTTCAGAAGAGGCCAAGGCAGATGAGAAATGATACAGACAAGATTGGTAACATGTTTCGGCCAACTTGTGCAAAGTAGGAAGGAACGATTGCATCGGTGATCGGTCCTCTCGGAGCAATGCTCCGTCCTCTCGAGGACGCGTGGTTTATGGTGTAACAGCAAAGGCTGCAAGACATGAGTACGCCCCCATGCTGTAACTCTCAACATTTCCTCAGCAACCCTGACTGTTGAATGGAGACCCCGGGGATGAACGCCGGGGACGGGAAGGCAGACGCCCCCTGGCCATCAGCATCAGGAAATGATGCGAATATCACCCCCGCCAGTACGCTAGATATACGTAAATGTGCGGTTGAGGTGCCACTTTCACTAACTCTGGCCCGTGTTCCAGGTTCGTTCGTTGGTTCCCGAAACCCGCCACTCATTTTGGAGAACCTG